AATATACTTAATTATAACACAGACTACAGTATAATTAGTTATAATATACTTAGTTATAGTACCAAATATAATATAATTAGTTATAATATGCTGAATTATAATACAGAGTATAATATGNGTTATAATGCAAAATATAATATATATAGTTACAATATACTTAATTATAACACAGACTACAGTATAATTAGTTATAATATACTTAGTTATAGTACCAAATATAATATAATTAGTTATAATATGCTGAATTATAATACAGAGTATAATATGATACAATATACTTAATTATAANGTTATAATGCAAAATATAATATATATAGTTATAATATACTTAATTATAACACAGACTACAGTATAATTAGTTATAATATACTTAGTTATAGTACCAAATATAATATAATTAGTTATAATATGCTGAATTATAATACAGAGTATAATATGATACAATATACTTAATTATAATACAGACTATGATCATAACTATATCATTAATTATAATATACTTACTAGTTATATAATCATAGTTACATACTGTATATTATATACTAGTTAACTAATTGTGTTAGTTATATTACAATTAATTATATCAGTCATATCATATTATAACCAATTACATCAGTTATATTATATTACATCCAATTATATCATTTCTATTATATTACAACCAATTATACCACTTCTATTATATCACAACTAATACAATACAACTAAAATTAGTCACAACGCGACTAACTCTAAGATTCCGAATCTCCACGAATAATTAACCTGCATCGTTTCGCCATGACAGACAAACTCGAAGAATAATACGCAGGAAAATCGGTAGTCAACAAAGTAGTCCCGATATCTCGAAAGGGATGATCGAGCGATCGAGTCACCTGTGTCGATCGAATTCCACCGCGTCGTCGATCGTGCACAATGGAGAACCGGTGGCGGAGTCGCGCCGGGACACCGTCGCATGACAAATAAACCGGTGGCCTATGGAACCGTGCGAACGATTGACCGAGATCGTGCATCCGCGGCACAAAGGGCGCCGTAATCTCGATCGTGATCGTTTAGGCAAACGTTTCGTGGCATCGATCGCGTTTGTCCTGTCGAACTTCGTCGTCACCGTCGGCTGTTTCCTTTCGCGACAGGTCGTCGTCGTCGTCGTCGTCGTCGCCGCGGCCGTCGGTCCCGGGCCCCGGGATCTCGTTATCTCAGTGTCAGCGTGACGAATAGAGCACACACGAGCCTTATGCCAATGTCCAGCAGCCATGGGGACACCGGGCGACAAGGGGTCCCGCGTTGCAGGAGGAGAGGGGACCGGCGAGAGCATAAAAGCACGGACGAAGAAAAGCATCGGAGCTTTTGTCGTGTTCTACTACCGTGGCCGCTTCTCGTGTCCAGCTGATATTGTGTGACGGACCTACGCTCTCAGGGCTTCTCTCTACGGGAACGTCATGGGGCAACCACCTCGACTCATGGGGACGGCCTTAGCGTGCCTGTTCCTCCTCTTCGCGGCCGCCGACGCGTCCAGTAAGTAGTACATCCACTCGTTTCGCCACTATTTTCACTGGTTTCACTGCGATTTTCTGTCAGACGATCCAGCGAATTCGATTCAGAGATCGTTAAACTGCCCCAGATTTGCGCGGAATTAACGGCGAACCCGCCGAGCGCCAACGCTGCCCCGCTTATTTGATAATAAAAATAGTATGAGATAAATGAAGTAAAATACGGTAAAATTGCTAGGAAATATATCCTTCGCGAAAATGACGAGGGTGGATTTATTTATTACTTTCTGCCGTTTCTGTTGTAACGTATGCTTCAATCGAGATATCGGTTCGATGATTTCGTAGGGGAAATGTCTTTGGAATCGCGAGCATTTTGGGAAATAAAGCGTGGAGTCGGTCGTCTTGACCGGCTCGGCAGTGTTTCAAACATTTCCGCGGCTGTTGAAACGAGGATAAAATCGCTGAATAAAAATGGATTTCAACTCTGAAGTATTTTAAGAAGTTCAAGATAATATTAGAAGCCTCGATTCCTCGAATATTTTTGCTGCTCTCTCGTTTTTTCGTTTGTCGCAAAAATGCGTAAAATTCACGGCGATGACTGCGTCGAGACAGTCGCACATATTTTTCTTCAAATATTTCTAATATTTCTTATTCAAATAGAATTTTTTCTAACCCCAACATAACCCTGCTAATATGAAATTCAATTATTCAATTATATATTTCTTGAATTATTTCCAATATTTCTCATTGAAATACAATTCTCTGGTTTTCTTAATAATTGCTAGAAAACGTAATTGAAAACTTGGAATTCATTTTCTTCATCTAGAAATTTCCCTTTCGATATCTACAATCGATCCTTTGCAACTAAAATTCAATTATTGTTTACTCATATGTTTCTTAAATTATTTCCAATATTTCTCATTGAAATACAATTCTCTGGTTTTCTTAATAATTGCTAGAAAACGTAATTGAAAACTTGGAATTCATTTTCTTCATCTAGAAATTTCCCTTTCGATATCTACAATCGATCCTTTGCAAATCAAATTCAATTATTGTTTACTCATATGTTTCTTCAATTATTTCCAATATTTCCCATTGAAATACAATTCCCTAATTTTCTTAATAATCGCTAGAAAACGTAATTGAAAACTTGGAATTCATTTTCTTCATCTAGAAATTTCCCTTTCGATATCTACAATCGATCCTTTGCAAATCAAATTCAATTATTGTTTACTCATATGTTTCTTCAATTATTTCCAATATTTCCCATTGAAATACAATTCCCTAATTTTCTTAATAATCGCTAGAAAACGTAATTGAAAACTTGGAATTCATTTTCTTCATCTAGAAATTTCCCTTTCGATATCTACAATCGATCCTTTGCAAATCAAATTCAATTATTGTTTACTCATATGTTTCTTAAATTATTTCCAATATTTCCCATTGAAATACAATTCCCTAATTTTCTTAATAATCGCTAGAAGACGTAATTGAAAACTTGGAATTCGTACAATTGATCTTTTGCAAATCACATTCAATTATTGTTTGCTCATATATTTCCAATATTTCCATTAAAACGCAATTCTCCAATTTCCTCAATAATTGGTAGAAAAAGCATCTTTAAAAACTTGGAGCTCATTTTCTTCATCTAGAAATTTCCTTTTCGATATCAATAATCGACCCTTCGGCGACCGATTTCCTGGACAGTAATCGGTGTCCCTCTTATGACACAGCGCCAGGTGAAAGGTCAAACAGCCATTCTAAAGGGAGAATCTGCAATCTTTGTTGCCGCGTCGGGCACGTGTGTCCTCTTTAAGGACAAGTTTCGGGATTTTCGTGAGAAAGGGCGACGCCTTTCTCCCGCGGCGAAACTTTCTTCGGAAGGAAAAAGAAATTAGGGGAACAATGATATACCTTCTCCGAGAAAATACTGGAGGGTTTAGCGAGCAAATGTGGGGTGGGCAGAGACACACTATACCGTGCCTCGTAGAAATCATTCCTACGTTTACCAGGAGCTCGGTGATAATGCTTGAAAGAAGTATTGGAAACAGTTGAAATGAAATCTCCTTTTGTTTCTGTAAAATAATATTTCGAAACTTGAAGAAAATTGTTCGTTCAAGTAGCATTTTCTTACGACGTACTGGAAATAATTTTTCGAAATAGTATTTCGTGCGTCGAAATTTCTATTGTTTGAAAAAAGAATTCTATTTCCTAAAATTAATAGTTATTTAAAATAATAAGATTCGTTTTTGTTAGAATAATTTAATATATTATAATATTTATATTAAAAAGTATGAATGTACATTATTTTGAAAATATAACAAGTCGAGAGAAAAAGTATTTGCAAATATTTGTATTTATTAGTGGAGATATTTATTAATTGAAATATTTCTACACTCTCTCTCTCTCTCTCTCTCTCTCTTTCTCTCTTTCTCTTAGTAGTTGAAATATTTGTATTTATTAATTGAGAGAGAGAGAGAGAGAGAGAGAAGTATTTCTATTTATTGAATGAATAATTTTATGAATTAAAATTGAATTATTTGCATTTATTAATTGAAAAATATTTGTAAGTATTAATTGAAATATTTGTATCTATTAATTGAAAAATATTTGTATCTACTAATTGAATTATCTGCATTCATTAATCGAAACATTTCTATTTATTAGTTGAAATATTTATTAATTGAGATATTTGTAACCAGTTCTGGAGGCGATACGTTTCCCTTCCGAGAAACATGAGAAATTCGTTAATCGCTTGACCAACCTTCGTTCCCCGACACGAGAATCACTCTTTTACGAGGGAATTAGGAGAAATGTAATGCAGAGAGAGCCCCACTTTCGAGGCATATTTTCGGCTACGGCAGGTCGTAAAGGAAGCAAATGGCGTCCCTTCCTTCGTTTTTCTTCTTTTTTCTGGTCGCCCGTCTTTCGGGCAAAAAAACGCCGGGTTTCCTTCGTCTCGGGAAAACAGTTTTTTGCCCGGCGAAAAAATTAGAGAGCGCGTCGGTGTTTTCTGGGAAAAAAGGCGTCGTCGGTCGTTCGTTCGTTCGTGCGTGTTGAAGGGCAGCAGATAGAATGTTAACCATTTTCATGGGTTTGCCGGTGAAATGTCATGGAAACAGAGAGTTTAGGGAAATTTTTCACGTGATCCTTCGTCGTTTTTTTTTCTTCGTATTCTTTCTCTTTATCAGGGGTCCCCGCTTTACGATCGAATGGAGGAATAACGTGCAGGATTTCACTTTGTCAAGATGATTCATTCGTTTCCTTTCGGTTACGGAAACAAGCTCGCCGCGACCAAAGTTAATGTAATTATGTTTCCTTAATGAACGTGCTTCTTCGAATTCCGCAATCTCTTCAAACGTCGGTTCGTAAAACGAACGAAGTTGCGCGAACTTTTAATTAAGAAAATAAAATAAACTGAACTGGCTTAAATATTGGTTTCAAATTTTACCAATTAATTGGAGGGAAATCAATGGAAACGATTTTTTAAGGCATCGAAGAAACATTTTAAAAGAATTTTATAAATTGTCACAGTGAGACTGACACCTCGTCGCAATGGATTATGCGATCGTTTCAATTCCAATTTGTGTCTTGATAATTGTAAATACTAAAATAATTCGTTCGTAAACAATTTGCTAGAATAAATTTGTGCCTCAGCATTATCGTTATTTGTTTAATCAAATTCTCCAGCTTGTCGTACAATATTTCATAAATTGCTCTATGCATTGAAGGATTCCTTCGACAAATTTATTATCGAGAAATTCAGGCATTGTCGTACTTCGAATAATTCAGCAACAATCCCTTTAAACAAAACTGCTATCCGAGACTTATAAAACCGTCTAGACGGAAAAATGTCCGGAGAATGGAATCGAGAGTGGTCGATGTCGAGACGCAGAAGACTCCGCGAGATAAGAGACAGTATTTTTCTGTAAAAACCCTGCGTCAACCCTACTCAGAAGGGAGCAAGTGATAATCGTCAGATAAAAGATAGGGCATACTAGACCGACGCAACTTACCATAATAGATAAAACTGGTCACACAAGAGATTAGATTTTATTTATAAACAAATGATAGAACTGTGACGAAGGAAAGAAAAGTGAACGTTCAGTTATTAAGAACACTTTGATTGCCATGCCATTAATCTCAATTCAATTATTATATTGGGTGTGTCCAGTGTAATGTTCAAGTATTATTTAATCAATATTTTCTATTCAATATATTCTATATTGTATATATTATATAATTTTATATTCTATATTCTACATTTCTATATTCTATAACTCTATAATTCTAGAATTCTATAACTCTATGATTCTATAATTCTATAATTCTATAACTCTATAATTCTATAATTTTATACTGCTATAATTCTATAATTCTATAATTCTATAATTCTATATATATATATACTTCTATATTTCTATAATTCTATAATTTTATTATAATTCTATATTTCTCTCTATA